GGGTGGCATGACTCAACGCCAAAGGCGCACGGAACGTTGTTCCCTTCCCACCAAAGGTGGCTCCTATTTTTCTACTTGCATTTTTTAAACTGCTTTCAAACTGCTAGGTTGGCAGAAGCTGGGACAAGTCACGGGAGCTCCCTCTGTTACACTGGGGATTCGAACCGCTGAACTGCCAACCTTTCTGCTCGACAAGCTCAGTGTCTTAGCCCCTGAGCCACCGCGTTCCTTCATTAAATTAGCCGCCACTAATTAGTCGATTGGGCCGCAAGGTCTCTTCATGCATATAAAACCTTAACCTCTCTTGTTTTTGTTTTGTTTTTAAATCAATTTTCTATCTAAGCCGTTTCGAAGAAAAGCGTGTTTCTAGTCCTCGTGGAAAGAAAGGAAGGCAAACACAAGAAGACCCCCACCCCACCCCAAAACCCAAATTCAAGTTTTGGTTTTCTAAATTCCAGGCAGAATAAGGAACGGGAGCGGTTGTTTCATTTCAGTTAAAGAAGATAAAAATTAAAAAACAGTTCTTTTTTTCCAGCACGAATTCAAAGGGAATAATAAAAATTATCAGGATAGGCAACGCTTAAAAATAAAACACGCAACGCCTTCGGATGACCTGATTTCGTTGCCGAAGTTTGCACAAGTCCCCGAGGGCAGCCAGACGCAGTAGGGGTCTCTGGAAGCCAGGCAGCTCCTGCACGGAGAGAAAGAGAGGAGGGGGAATCTTTGCAGGCATCTCCCCCTCCCCTTTAGAACTGGGGGTGGGTGGGAGGAATCTGCTCTGCAGGGTTGTTGTGCGCACCGACCCCCGTTTTTCTTGGAGGAAGAAGCACAACTGAGAGGAAGGAGGAAAAGGGTTTGGTTCCCAGCTATCAACCGCAATAGAGCCTCCAGAGAAAGGGGCAGTCTATCCCGGAACACCACCAAGTCCTATCTTCGAACTCCAAAGTCTAGGAGTGTCCCTAGGGATCCACTCCCCAGGCACCCTTCCCAGGGTCCCCACCCACAGTGAAGTGAGACGCCGGGCCCCCCTCGACTCTCCTACCTGCGGCAAGTGCTGTGGGCCCCACAGCGGCTGAGGGGCATCCGGACCACGCAGCCGGAGAAGGCCACGTAGAGGGCGTGGTTTGCCTTGTCCAGCTGCAGCCCCAGGACCTGCCGGTCCTCACGCTTCACGCTACACCTGTGCAGGTAAGGCAGAGAAGGGCGGGGGTGAATGCTCTGGCTCTCTCTTGGCAAACTCCAGGATGCTCGTGCTGTGATGGGGGTGGGGGTGGGGGTGTCAGCCCAGAACACGGCAGTGGGAAAACTAGCATTCAAAAATAAAATTTCTCTCTCTATATATATATATCTCTCTTCATAGCCTATCATCTCTCTCTCCATCCATCCTGTGCTTATCTACCTGTCTATCTACCCATCTCTCTATCTACATCCCTCCATCCCTCCATCCCTCCATCCATCATGTGTCTATTTAACTACCTGTCTATCTACCCATCTCTCTATCTACATCCCTCCATCCCTCCATCCCTCCATCCATCATGTGTCTATTTAACTACCTGTCTATCTACCCATCTCTCTATCTACATCCC